ACGGGGTGGGTCTGTTCACCTCATGGCAACCAGTAAGTGAAAGGCGAGGAAGTGGGTAGGATCTCAGTATCTTTTTCCAGGGCATACACCCAATTAGGTGTACCTATTGGTACACCTATTACAGATACAGAACCTATTAGGCTGTATCTACACGTTCCATCACCTTCCAGCACACCTGTAACATTGTCTTTTTTTTTGTCCATAATTAAAACTTTATTGAAAAACTGACACCAAACTAGGAGATCATTGTTGTCTACTTGATAAAATCAAGCATAGTTACAGAGTCTTGGTAGGGTCACTGAACTTGACAAGGCTTTCTGTGAAAAACACAAACTCAGGAACATGTATAGATGATTAGTGTTGCTTTCTTCTAAATGAACAGCCTTCTTTGAGCCTGGGTTTTCCTCCTGTGGGCTGGCATAGCACTGTTGAACAACCTACACAAAGAACCACTGTCTGAGCATGGCTGAAAACTGTAGTAATCTCGTAGCAACCTGGACATTTCACATCCTTGAAGTAAGAATTTGGACTCTGAACCAACCGTTTCTTCTTATGTTTTTTCTTTTGCTCTTCCAAGGAAGGGTGTAATAGATCTCTAGCCAGAGGCATGGTGACGGTTCCGATAGCACCGGCGATCCAGATCTCTGAGGTGAGGCTGGCGAATGCTCGGCTACCTGTAACATTGTCTTTTCAACCAATTTATATCACCGTTGTCTGATAGTAATGGCTGATGACATTTGTGTCACATATTTAATGAATTTGCTGTATGTGGGATGAATGAAACTGACTTAGATGAAATCTACAATCATCAGGCTTTGTAACTCATGACTGTCTAGATCACAGTGTTGGTCTTCCATGTGGGGTAAAAATCATAGCCATCTTCACTTGGCTTGCCCGTCGGATCACACGTAGACAAGCTCCCCTGCACTGCCCCCAAGACCCATTGACATTTGGAAATAACCAACAGTGTAAAAAAGTTCAACTAAATGGACTCGCTGGGTCTGAAAGCAGAGCCACGTGGGAAGGACAGGCAAGGGGTTTGCTCAAAGCATACTCTATGAATGTATGAAATTCTCAAACAACACAAAGGAAGCTGTAAACATTGACATGTTTGCCGTGAAGGAAGTTATTCTTAGAAATATGTCGGCTAGCTAAACATCATATATCCTAACTGAAATATTACTATGTGCAAGTCTAAAAGTTACCCCTCCTCACCACTCTACCTATGAATGTTTGAGTGATGGTAACACGTGTGTGTCTGTGTGTGTGTGTGTGTGTGTGTGTGTGTGTGCGCGTGTGTGCGTGTGTCTGTGCATACTCCATATGCGGTGTAACAATACTTTTCCCAGGTAAATGCAACACACACATATATTCTTTCTAGACAGGAAGTCTACAACAGACCAAAGTACAGATACCACCAAAAAGCGTGGTGCAATAAATGTGTACGGCAAAGAAGTCAGAGCAAGTTTGACGAACAGATGTTTTAACAGGAGAGTATTCACATGACTCCATCACCCTACAACCAGGTGAATCATGGAACAGAGAGAGCCGCCTTCGTGCCACCCTCATATTTAAGGTCTTGCAATGTCACCGTGCCCTAGTGTACGTGGTCTGCATCACCTGTGCCAGCCCCCAAGAGGGCATGGCTAACATTTCCCCAACACCACCAAAGCCCAACTTGGTGAACCAATTGAGTTTCATTGCAGTTACTAACAGGAATATGGCTGAGAGGCTATTTATAGGAGCAGAAATGACTCAAAGACAGCTTCATCACTGAACCTCACCCCAACCTGGGAGGCAGCTCACAAAATCTGGGACCCTGGAGCACACTGCCTAGCCTGCAAGTTGCTCAACAGGGTGAAGAGTGTCCTGTCTGGGTGCCTTCGTTGGTCTAAACCTCTTTCAGACAGCTCTGTTGGTTTCTGTTTCTTCTGGGCAATTTGACTTGTCTCTGAGTCTTCTTTGCAGTTTTGCTAGTTTGAGCATTATCTTTGCAGCATGAGTTACGTGAGCATCTGTCTTTCCAGGCTGGCTTGTCTGCGAGTGACTCTCTGCCCTCTTTATTGCTTACTCTGGCAGGGAGGAGCCTAGTGAATCTGGTCAGTTTCAGGGACTTCCTGAAGATAATGAGTTGTTCACCTGGTTTAAGGAGCGTCACTAAAGGCTGACTATTACAATCTCAGAGAAAACTTTTATACAACACCTTAGAACCTAAAATATGGATTATTGGGGCTGGAGAGATAGCTCAGTGATTAAGGGCACTGATTGCTCTTCTAAAGGTTCTGAGTTCAATTCCCAGCAACTGCATGGTGGCTCACAACCATCTGTAATGAGATCTGGTGCCCTGCTCTGGCCTGCAGGCATACATGCAGGCAGAACACTGTATACATAATAAAAAATAAATCTTAAAAATTAACACAAAACAAAAAGCTAAACACGGATTATTTTATGGGAGCCCTTGTACTCTGCCTTACCCGGGCAATTCTGAAACTATTTAGAGACATCATCTCTACTTTGGTCTATGTTTAAGAGGACAGAAGGCTGTCTTTCCTCCTTACTTCTATCAACCAAAAATGATTGATGAGCAAGCCGTCATCTGGCCAGCATCTGATTCTTATCTTTCTTGATGCATCATTATCCTTTGCTCTGTCACATATCTGTTCTGTCCTCTTGAGAGGACAACAATCCACATTTCTCAGTCCAACCAGTGAAGGGAACTCCCACACAGCAGGGCTCTCTTCCAGATCCTGGACAAGGCACAAACCACACCCAAACTACTTTCACAGAGATCCTTTATTAATAAGGAAAGAAAAAGTTAAAGTGGCTGCTTTCTGTCTCAGGCAGAAAACAGCAGCAAGTGACCTTGCAGGTGTCATTTTGAAGAGGGGAAGAGGAGGTCTGTGTTAGAATGGGCTAGGAGGCAGGGTTATTTGTCCCCAGAGGGACAAGTGACTGACTCTGGATAGCAAGGAGATAGACATGCATAGGAAAATGGCAGTTTATAAAGGTAAAGGGGGAACCTGTGTCAGGATGAGGTGTTTAATTTTAATTGGGCATGTTAATTAGGTGAGCCAAGGGGGCTTCCGATGTCTGGACCTTCATAAGCAGCCTGAGAGGAGGAAGTGGCCAAATAAGGGACCTTGGTGGGTAGCTTTAGGAATGTAATCTGATGGTTTTTAGCAAGGCAGAGAAGGACAAGGCCTGACATAGCCACAGGCTAGAGTGGACTAGTGTCCCCTCAACCAGAAAGTACTGTCACTTTTGTTCCTGTTATGTTCAGGACCTTCTGAGGATTTTGTAGGGAGGATAAGATGTAAAAAAAATAATAATAATAAATTTAAAAAAAAAGAAAAAAGGGAGGATAAGGAAATAACTGAATCTGGACAAGGAAAAAGTGGAAATCACAGTGGGATGGCTAACATGATGCTGCTGGCTAACTTTATGTTTAAAAGTTTGAAGTTTTTGTGCTTAAGAGAACTATAAAGCAAAATTGAACTCCCAAATGTTATGGGCTGCTAAGGGTTGATTTTTGTAATTGCCTGGTCTTGTACAATTTCAACAGAACTATTGTTTCTGCAAGGTAATAGGTGGCAAGGTCAACCACTCTTTCTGCTGCTGTAAACAAAACCTTGTTTTTTGTGTGAGGACCTTCTGCTTGCACCAGACCAGAGTGTGACTTTCTGTTCTTTGCCTTTCTAACCCCCTGACCGAGGGGCTCAGGGCCTTCCAGCAGAACACTTTATAGTCATTAAATCTCATTTTAGTCAGCATTTTAAATGATCTAAAAAGTACTCGTTTGTATCTACTCAGTTTCCTATCTCTCCCCTCCCAGCATGCATTCCTGGACCCAGTATTTCTAAGGCAGACCTGGCCCTGCCTTCCTTCCTGAGAGCATTGCCGGTCAACTGCAAAGTTGTTTCGCACAAAAACCTCCTAAAACTTTATTTTTTTAAAATTTAAATTAGAAACAAGCTTCTTTTACTTGTCAATCCCAGTTCCCTCTCGCTCCCCTCCTCCCTGGCCCCCACCGACCCCCCTATCCCATCCCTTTCATCTCCCCAGAGAGGGTGGGGCCTTCCATGGGGGGGTCTTCAAAGTCTGTCATATCATTTGGAGCAGGGCCTAGACCCACCCTAGTGTGTCTAGGCTGAGAGAGTATCCCTCTATGTGGAATGGGCTCCCAAAGTCCATTTGTGTACTAGGGGTAAATACTGATCCACTACCAGTGGCCCTGTAGATTGTCCAGACCTCCAAACTAACCATGAACAGCCCCTTGTTCAGGTCAGTTGTTTCTGTGGGTTTCTCCAGCCTGGTCTTGACCCCTTTGCTCATC